CCGATCGCCCTCCTGGCGAGCCAGTACTGGCAGGTCGCGTCGCAGCTGACGACCTTCGAAGTGTCCAACCTCGGCCGATACGGCTTCATGGGCGGGCGCGGCGGCGCGAGTCTGAGCTCGCAGATGGGCCACCAGCACCACCAGCGCCAGACGATGGCGGAGGGCGACGCCTCGCCGGGGGACGGCGCGCACGCGGGGCACCGCCACAAGCCGAGCGGGGGCATCTGCGCGGGGTGCGGCGGGGGGTTCCTGATGAACATCCTCGGGTTCGACCGCTTCACGAAGGGCAAGGCCGCGGACGGGCTCGCGCGCGCGGGGACGGCGCCGAACCCGTTCGACCTGGGCGTCGTCGGGAACTGCAAGGACTTTTGGACGACGGGCCGCGAGCTGGGCGTCGAGTACGACAGGCTGTACGACGTGCCCCTCGAGGGGTTCACCGAGGCGAAGCGGCGGCGGCACCGGGAGGAGGCGGACGACGGGCACGGCGAGGGCGGGCGCAAGTCGCTGCGCAAGAGCCTGCTCATGGGCTTTGGCCTCGGCAGGGGCGGGAGCAGCCGTTCGGGCTACGAGCCGCTCAGCCAGGTGTGAGCGCTGGCTCCCGGAAGGACGGCGCGCTGTGTGTGGCGCATGTGTATTTCGCGATGTATCATAACCTTTTTGCCCCTGCTTGCCTCTTTGGTTTGTGTAGCAGCCAGCCTGCGTGTGCGTGTGGGGGTTTCGCGGGAAATATCAAATCCATGCTACTGCAGGTTTGTTCGAGTGCCTGGTGCGATGTGATGGTGTGTTGCACAGATCGGCTGGTGGGTTGGGTGTGTGAATAGCCACTGACTTGGAGAATCGCGTCAAGCTAGGCTATTGTCCTTCCCACTTGGTGTCGCCGAATCGCCATGAGAGCCTAGTACCCGCGTGAGTGGACACACGAAACGCCGCGCTTGTGTCAAAGTCTTTTTTTTTTAATATTATTATTTAATTCCAGGGTTTATACTCCATACCATAGGGTACATGCAGAGTGTAATTAAACTGTTAATGCGGGGCGGTAATCACCCCGAACCGTACCCCCCGCTCGCAGACGAACTGAGGGGTGACACTGTGCGGGATGGTCCCGCGTCTGTTGGGCCTGCTTGCTCGAGAACGAGATATTCGGCCATCTGTGTGTCCGCGCTGAACGCGGGTGGGGGATACGCCGGGGCTTGGTTCCTCCATGCCTCGATCAGTCGAGATGCTGTAACATCAGCATTGTACTCCTTAACAAAGACGTCGTAGTCCTTGGAATCAGGGTGAACGTCTGCTTGGTCCATGTTGATCCTCGCACAAAAGGCCGAAATCGCGGATTTCCGCATTACGGTGTGACTGTACAAGAGGGCGTTGGCGATTGAATAATGATCTCCCTCCTCTCTATCAGTGGCAGCTTGAGCGAGGATTTCCGCCCACTCAAAGGTTGCCACCATAGGGTTGAGGCGCAGAAATATGAGAACATCATCCTCTGTCCATCCTCTCTGACGACGTACTTGTGCCTGGCGCAAATTGTCTGGTGCATAATTCTGCACGATGCCCTGTTTCAGCCTGATCCACATGGGGCAGTCAAACAGGGTGTGGTCCCGATCGTCCAGGGTTCCTGAACAGGCCACCCTAAGGAGCGCCCTTGCAGGGCTCGCCGTCTGAGGCCCGTGGGTGGGAATCAACTTAAGCCTGAAATCCCAATTACCAGGATCAGACCGACAGAGGATTTAGTCCTCTTGAGCCAGATATGGGAGACCGTCCCACTCCGCTACGGCCTGTGTGGGACCCAAGCTACTCCTGGAGTTGTCACTTAGGATTTGCACACTTCCCGTTCCCAGGCAGGTGGTTTGCTTATGCCATCTGGTGCGGATCCCCAATCCTGTCCTGGATCTCTGTCTCACCTAGAGTGACCAGGGGACGGACCCCCGGAGTTTCTCCAGACTAACCACCTGTGCCCAGCCCCTGCCAGTACACACAGGCCCTGGTGCCCTGTCCCTACAGTTTTCGGGACTTACTCTCAGGTCGGGTGGTTCTTAGCCCATACCAGGAATTATAGACCCTTATCCTTTCAGACCCTTTCGGGCAACCCTTGTGCCTACAGTTTTCAGCAGGTTATTAGGGATTGAAGGTGTTATTTTTACATAATCTCGCCACACCCTCATGCACTCCAGCTTTGATATTTCTCTTGCAAACCTCCTTTACCAAGGGAGGGCTGGTATACTAGGCGGTGTTAAGGGACCTAACGACTGGGGATCAGGAGTTTGACTGTTTAACTATACTTAGGACTAATACACGCTATAGTCCTACGCCGATA